TCAAAAGGCCTTGCCATCCTGTGCTGTGGCTGGCAGGATATTCAGTGAAATTGTGCTGCTTTTCAGGAGCCTCTTGTTGTAATGTATGTGCATTGTCTAGGACATCAAAGCAGCTGCTTCCTTCCTGCAATGGATAATTCTTCTGGAAGAGCTGTTCTGCTAAGAGTTGTGGATGGCACACTGATTTTACTTTCTCATTTTTCTGTGTGCTGCAGTGCCTGCTGGTAGACTCTCAGCTGTTCCTTTCTGTAGTGGAAGAATATCCTTGACAAAATATTTAAAAATGTGTATTTGTGTTTAAAAACAACTTTTAAAAAGTGTTTTTATGTATGTGTAAAAAGATATTGAATGCTTCAATATATGCAGATACTTTATTGTATTCTGCTTTGTTGTGTACAAAAAGTATGGCACTGAGCCTGTGGCCTTGTGCCTAGCATAGCTAAATTTGCTCAAGGATTGCTGAGGCAATGTGCTGAAGACTGAGTCTGATCCAAAGTCCATTGAAGATAATAGGAGTCCTTTCACTGACTTCAGTGGCCATTGGATTGGGCCCTAAATGCTAAAATCAATCTACATGCTGAATACTATCCAGTTTCACTTACCTTTCCTAATGCACTGTAAGCAGTATTTGTGTTTTGAAGTCTGATGTCTGTATTTGGTCTGCTTGTTTATGGACCATCCTCATCCTGTTTTAGAACTGAAAAAATTAAGTTTCCTTCTATTTTACTGTAGGATTATGGCTCTATCAAGATACCCAATTGTGAAATCCAGCCATCACCTTCTCCCATCCCCTGAGGGAGAGATTGCACCAGCCATCTCCATGACTGTCAACTTCACTGGGAAACTGGTGGATTTTGTTGTTGCTCACTTTGGAAATGAAGAGTGTGTGATTTTTCTTTTTTAAATTCAATTACATAGAAAATGGAAAGCAAAATGTAATTGTCATTAAGCAGTGTTTTTTATAAAGTAAATGTCCGCTAAACATTTTCCACTGTAATAATTGCTTTTTAAGCAAGCACATCGGAGGTGATACTATGATAAAGTTAATGATTTGGGAAAGGATCTTGATTTTATTTTAAGGTAGAAATGTATCCGGCAAAACTCAGCAAAACTGAGATATGCAGGTTTACACTGCTATAGACCTTGCAAAGCTACTATGCTGATTTTATAGACTATTTAGTGTCTACAGAGTCAAGATTGGCTTTGAAACTGTATTAGATTCCTCCCCCTCACCTCAGCCTCCTCCCTCTCAGTAGATAGAGTTCCATGATGTTCCATCAGGGAGGATAGACTCAGGTACAGGTAGATGGCATAAACTGTGGCTTGGTAAGAAGTTATAGGGCCTAAGTGTAGGGTGTTCTTTTTCCCCCCTCTGTACCAAAAGATAGCAATTCTGAGACTTCTAATAAGATACATTGTATAAACAGCAAGAAAAAAACAAGTTCAGTACCTTTACTGGACAGCTAAAACTGGAGGTGTAAAACCTGACCTCCAGGTTCTGAAATGAAGAATTGCGCTGATAAATCAAAAGCTTGAGGAGATTAACAAATATATTGTCTTTCTCAATCTTTCCTTAAAGGAATGTCTTGATTATGGCTGTGTAATGTATATTAATAATTGGGCAGGTTTTGTGAATCTTTAAGTAGTTTTAATTCATGTTGCTTTATTCTCCACAGTAGCTAATATTAAGATCCCAGTTATTAGATTTAGGGATTTATCTCTTACTTTACTGTAATTTATGCAGAGATAACTATACATTCAGATAAGGAATATAAAAGGCAAAAAAGCTTCTGAAAACAGCTGGAGTTTGTTAGTGGGGTCAGTGCCAGGAATGGAGCTAGGTGATGCTCCCTTCCCGCCTCCCATGGGGACTGGCCCAGGTCCCAGCTGTGCCCCCCGCCCCCGAATGTTCCTCCAGTTTGGGGACCTCTGCCATAAAACCTAGAAGAGACAGCTAAGCAGCTTTCAATTTACTCTGTGGTTAGTTGTTATTTATAGTGCTGTAAGGTGTACTTGGCACTTTAAACTAATGAATGGGCCATGCTAAAAACAGGATTCTGCCTTGAGGAGATCACAGGCTAAAAGCATAGAAAATGTGAGTTGTATTGGAGCAGCAAGCAGTTACTGGTGGCAATTCCATAAACTCCCTAATTATTATAATTATGTTAGAAAGCAAGTTGAAAGTGTCTGGCCATAACCACTAGGTTCCAGGGGAATGTGGGAGGTAGTTTTAAATGATCAGTTTGCTTCCTTCTGCCCACCCATTAAGTTCCCCCTCACCACTTTCCGACCTCAGAAGCTTCACTCCCACTTAGCTGGATTTCTTGGAAACTGTCTTACTAATTAAACTGAATTGGTCTGAAATGGCTCCCAATTTGGCCTCTAAAAGAGAGCTTAAAGCAGGCAGACCAGTCACTTCCATTTTTCTGTCCAACTTTGTGTCCCCACCCCAAAAAATCTGGCTGTCAGGGTAGCAGAGAAGGGAGGAGAAGCACATCCCAACAAGAAGGGAGTGGGAGAAACTGGCCATGGAGATGGGGGAAGCACCTGTGTTTCTCTCAGGCCATGTCTACACTACAAAGTTAAGTCGACATCGAGCCTCTGATTTAAGCAAGTCAATCTTGTGTGTCCACACTACGCTCATTGTGTCAGCAGAATGCATCCTCACTAGCAGGGTTTGCATCAACTCACAGAGCACTGCACAGTGGGTAGCTATCCCACAGTGCATGTAGTTGAGTGGAATTTTGGGTTGGGCTTGCAATGCCTTATGGAACCAAAATATTGACGCGGGTGATTATGGGAACATGGCATTAGCCTCCCATGATGTGCTTACCTCCCTCCCTTCCTCCCTCCCTGAAATCAATTGCAAACAAACCAAGCCTTTTTCGCAAGCCTGGGTTACCGTGGCGGACATCATAGCACAATAAGCATGGACCCCACTCAGCTGTGCCCTGTTGTGAGCATTACAAGCATCTCACACCTTATCCTGCAGTATTTACACAGCCAATACAGGAACCACTGTGCAGAACAATGTGATGCCATGCAAGCAGCCCTGATGGAAGACATAGAGCGGAGCAATTTGCAATTGCTGGCAACAGTTACGCATCACCTCGACATGGTTGAGCGCTGTTTCTGGGCCTGGGAAACACCTCCTGGAGGCCCATTCATTCAAATTGAAAAAGAATAGAAACAAGCAGCCCACCTGGTAGCTGTGCATGGGGAATGGAAGGAGCTCAGTGCTTAGTGCCAGCATTCCTACCTACTGACCAGCCTACAGTTCCCTCCTGCGGTATCCTTCCCTGGCCATTCCACCCTCCCCTTCAGCAGTGTTCCTCTAGTGACCTAAAGCCTCCAGTCCAGCTTTCCATTTATTTAGGGGAGAATACCAGTGTTACCAATTCTTACAAATTTCTCAAGTTTTGTGATATTTGATGGATTTTTTCTTAAAAGCTCTAGCTCCAGGAGTCAACTGATTATTGGGATCTCAGCTTTCACTTAAGGAAAAAAAATTCTAGCCCTCATAGATAAAAAGAAAAGTTTGAAAACATGACCTGAGTGCAACTGAAAGTCTTGGAAGCCAAAAGCCTCCTTTGAGGGAAGAACTTGCTTTTCCAGCCCACCCGAGCACCAGTTCCTTTGGAGAAGGGGCACAAGATCATCCCATATTAAGCATTGCTCTGTTTATCAGTTTATAAGGCTACTATCAGCTTGCTAAGGAAGCAGGTGCAAAGTAAATTCTGTTTTGAGACTAATTCTGAGAATTCATATTCATAATGGAGGCTTTATAATTGGTTAATTAAAAATATAATTTTATTGCTGCTTTTGAAAATGGGGAACAGTAATCAGAAACCGTAGCTTTTATATTAATCAAGGATTCTTTTTAAAAAAATGGGATTATATAAGTGCAGGTCTTCTCTCACAGAGACACATGGGAGGACCTGTGAGGAAGATAGCTAGTTCAGCACAGAGCTTTGTATCGATCTGGATCAGTGCCTTGTTTAAACCATTCCTTTGTTTGGCTTGTGTTAAGTGTGTGTTATCTGTAGGAGGAAGCAGACCAACTCCACTACTTGGATCACTGATATTTTTATTGGAGTCATTTGGAAACCCAATAAATACAATAAGAGAACTGGGAAGGTATATTTAGAAATTCAGTAAATACAATAAGAGCACTGGGAAGGTATATTCCGGCATAAAGCCTTTTGATCTGCATCTGTCCAGCAATACCAGCACAAGATTCTACAATACAAACATACAGGAGAATAATGATTTTCTGGTGTTGTCTATGCACACAACCTGCATTGGTTAAATTAAACTCAGTCTTTAAATCGATTTAGTTAAATCAGTACATTTCCAGCACCATTTTTGTTGGTAGTATTTGTAGGACGCTGTTTTTGAATGATGTTAGAGAAATTGTTACATTATCTAGGCTTTAGCATGATTCTGTAATGCAATGCTAGGATTTGGTTGTCCTGTCCAATTAAAAGGTCATGTTAGAATGTGGACATCCCAAAATGTGCCACACAGTTATGTGCCGGCACAGTTAAACTTATAATTTAGACAGATCCAAAGTCTTAACTGCACAAGATACTCAGATGAGATATTCATGGTGATTAGAGCTCTGTATAAAAACTTAGAACAAGCTATTCATGGAGTGTGTTGAGGAGAAAGAAGCTCTTATTTGCAGCTAATTTGTGCCATAGGTCAAACATTTCAAAAGTTTAAAAAGCATCCTATTTTTGTAAACTTTCACACACTGTTTTCCACTGCATAACCCATGGTTTTCTGTGTTTGTATCAGTGAGACTCTTTTTTGATCCTTTAAAAAAATTTTTTTTAGTAACCGTTTCCCACTTCTTTCAGAGATGACTTGGACAGGAAGCTCCAGGCTATTGCTATTTCAAACCTGTTGAAGAATAGCTCTCGACAGCTTGTATTTCTAGGATATATCACTTCAGCTCCTGGATCCAGAGATTACATAGAACTAATTGAAAATGGCAATGTTAAGGTAATGTAGAACTACTACTAACTATAACAACTGACTAATTTACAAAAGATGAATTTAAGATTCCAAATCAGTAACCTATGCAGATTATAGGGTTAAAAATACACATACTTTTTTAAAAAAAAACTTGTTTTAAAATCTGTTCCATTTTTCAATTACCTGTTAGGAACTATTATTTTAGAAATAAAATACCTTAAAAAAAATCAGTCTTCCTTTATTTACCTGCCTGGATCTAACATCAGGATTCTGTTTCCTTTGCAACTTTTGACTACATCTCAAGCAAATCATTTCCTTGTTCTGTATCCCCATACAGATTCTATTACTGAGGCCTGGTCTACATTTAAAATTTAGATCAACCTAGCTACGTTGCTCAGGAGTGTGAAAAATTCATACCCTTGAGCATTGTAATTAAGTCTACCGAACCCCCAGTGTAGACGCAGATTAGGTTGATGGCAGAATTCTTCTGTCGACCTAACTAGTGCTGCTCAGGGTCATGGATTACCTACATTGATGGAAAAAATGCCTTCTGTCAATATAGGAAGCATCTGCACTGTGGCACTGCAGCAGCTATAGTGGAGACATGCCCTGACCTGAGGTCCATCTTTGAAGAAACTTTGTCATATTTGCTTTATTTTTTCCCCATAGGATATTGACAGTACGGATAATGACAGGTGGTGTGATTATATCATGTATCGTGGACTAATAAGGTATGTCAAAATGGATAATTAACTTGTTTTAGATATGTTACCATTATCATTTTTAGATCTCATGACAGAAACCTGTATAACTCATCTGAATGGAAGAGCTTACTTCTCATCTTTAATTTACATCAAACTTTCTGACTGGCTGAAGGCAAACTACTAAACTACATGCAGGCAGTCAGGTATAACATGAAGTAATATGGAACCTGATAAGTGGAAGTCAGACTTACTGTGATTCTACTTTGTAAAGTTACTCTGTAAAAATGTCATCATGGGGGTTCCATCTTTGTGTTTCTAAGACTTCCAGGTCAAATCTGCTCGGTTAATACATAAAAACTTTATTTTCCTAAATCCCAGGTCTGCAATCTCATCCTGGAATTCTTGCTCACTCATCACCACCAGTGATACAAATTTTGCAATGTAATCTTGAGACTTGATCTTGTGAGGTGTTGGGCACTCTGGCCCCTGTCCAGCAAAGCTTTGCATTGATGTCAGTGAGAATGCTCATGTGCTTAAAGAGTTAATCACATGCTAAGTGCTTTGCTGGACCAGGGCTGGATGCTTAGCAACTTGCAGGATTGAGCCCCTAGTAAATAATTCTGTTGGTGATTCATGAGCCAGAATAGAATTGAGCTCACTCTGACATAACTGTTTAGAGTCTGCAGTGTTAACAGGAATAAAAAATAGTAAACTATATTGTCCATAAGGAGACTGAATACACAGAGAAAAGCTGTATTGAGTGAGATGCCATTTATAACACAACTTTTATTATTACGCATGTATTTTAAGTTCACTTCTCTTCCCTGAATATTTATTGGAAACTTTCAAAATGGTTTAATTGAAAAAAGTTGTTGAGACATACCAATATATTCTAATGATTGTAAACTACAACATAATGCTTTCTAACTAATATTCATAGTCCTACATCTGACTTGCTGTGTAATCTCAGGCACTTACACTGTTTCTCAGTTTTTCCATATGCAAAATTGTGTTGTGAAGCTCCTGTGTGTAGAGTGCTTTGAGATCTTTGGATGAAAGGTGCTATAGAAATGAAAAGAATTATATTGGAGGGTTAAAATAACTGTTAAAGACCCTGATTTAAAAAGGCTTTAATGTGGTGATTTGACTTTGAGCTATTTCTTCAAAGTAATTCTGTGTTTGGATGTGATAGGTTGGGTTATGCCCGCATTTCTCATGCTGGCCTGAGTGATTCAGAAGTTCAGATGGCCAAATTTAGGATCCCAGATGACTTGGATAATTATGTTGACAATGACAAAATCATCATTGACCCCAGCCAAGTTCCTGAGGACATCCATTTCAACCCAAGGTCAGCGTATTAGAAAAACATTTGAAGATGATCAATATTTATTTATTTGTATTTCCAAAAAGGGAAAACTTGAGGAACTGTCACATTCGGGTGTTATCCAGACCAGTGAGGGGTTTTCACCACCTGTTCTGCAACCTTGGGTGCCTCACAATGCTTTACTGTTGTAGCTCCCAACCAGGGCTACTCACAAACAGCCTAACAGCATGTTACACCCTGAGTGTCTGATTGTAGGTGCAACCCTGGTTCAGCGGCTCAGACCCCAGTAGCCTGTTGGCAATGTTCCAGTCACTCTCTGGCTTCCACCAGCCTCTCAGGATGACCCTAACACACTCCCCATCCCAAATTTTCCTAAAATGTGCATTCTGCATTGTCCCATTCTCTCCTGGACAATTAAATTGTTAAAGGTCTGTTCCCCCTGTAAAGTTTGCTACTTTAACTGGAGTTACCAAACAGGTCAGTTGAAACATAACATTGGATTAGATTAAAAATACAAGTTTATTTAACTACAAACAGAGGTGTTAAGTGAATACAGTACAAGTATAAGGTATTAAAGTCAGAAATGGTTTAAAGATAAAACGCTTTCTAGCAACTAAAACTTAAACACGCTAGACTTGGTTCAAGGTAAAATCCTTACCATATATTTCCAGGCATGTGGCTGACCAAATTCTTCGGTCAGGGTCACCCCTCAAAGTCAAAGGGCTGGTTCCTTTGTCTTCTTAGGGGAGGAGAGAGAGAGACAGATCCCTTGGGTTTTCTTTCCCCTTTCTTTTATAGTCCAGTTGACCCTTGAAGTGGATTCTTCTGAGAGTTACACCTCAAAGAATGGTTTATTCAAAGAGTAAAGAAGGTGACCTGGAGTCTGGTGAAGGAGGCTCCATGTTCTTTTTTCTCACCAGTATTTGCTGAAATACAAATTTACTCTGTCTCCTGCCATCTCCTCTCCCTATTGTTTCAAGCACCCAGTTTACTATTTATATATAAATTGAGGTAAAAAATGGTTACCCCCCTTTGTAACTGTTGTTCTTCGAGATGTGTTGCTCATATCCATTCCAATTAGGTGTGCGCGCACCACGTGCACGATCGTCGGAGAATTTTCTACCCTAGCAATATCTGGTGGGTCGGCTGGGGAGCCCCCTGGAGTGGCGCCTTCATGGCACTGGATATATACCCCAGCCCTCCCAGTGCCCCCTCAGTTCCTTCTTGCCAGCTACTCCGACAGTGGGGAAGGGGGGCGGGTTTGGAATGGATATGAGCAACACATCTCGAAGAACAACAGTTACAAAGATGAGTAACCGTTTTTTTTTCTTGGAGTGCTTGCTCATATCGATTCCAATTAGGTGACTCCCAAGCCTTACCTAGGCGGTGGGGTCGGAGTGAGACATCGCTGAGTGCAGAACCGCTGATCCAAATGCAGCATCGTCTCTAGACTGCTGTACAAGCGAATAGTGAGCAGCAAAGGTATGAACTGATGACCAAACTGCCGCTCTACAAATATCATGTATCGGGACATGAGCCAGGAAGGCAGTCGAGGAGGCTTGGGGTCTCGTGGAATGGGTGGTTAGGCGCAGCGTCGGGGCACCTGCCAAGTCGTAGCAAGCACGGATACAGGACGTGATCCAAGAGGAGATATGTTGCGAGGAGACCGCCATTCATCTGGTCAGCCAGTGCAACGAAGAGTTGAGTCGTCTTCCTAAACGGCTTTGTACGCTCGATATAGAAAGCAAGGGACCTGCGTACGTCCAAGGAGTGCCGTCCTCGAGTGCACCATCAAAAATTTTGTCTAGGCACTGAAGGTGGTCTAGGAGGGCCATGGTTCTGACCGGGTTGGGGGCCGGTCGACCTCCTTCTACCCCCTTGTCCATGCCTTCTGGGGAAGTCCTGTCTTGGATGAGGAGGAGGAGGGTAGAACCTCTGGGGCTGGGGCCTAAATGGCCTGCGTTGGGGTCCTGGGACATGCATCCCCAGGGAGTGCATGATGGTTCTGGAGTCATTTTAGGCTCTGCAACCGAGAGTCCGTCTTGTCCGAGAACAGCCCCAGACCATCAAATGGCAGATCCTGTAGGGTCTGTTGCAGTTCTGGCGGCAAACCAGACACCTGCAGCCAGGAAATGCGTCTATGTCTAGCGAGGCCTGTAAGGAGGTCCTAGCCACCTTTTTACCTTCCTCTACTAGGGCCCCAAACTCCTCTCTCGAGTCCTGGGGAACCAAATCCTTAAATTTACCCATGGAGTTCCATGAGTTGTATTCGTAACGGCTCAAGAGCGCCTGTTGGTTTGTGGCTCTGAGCTGCAGACCTCCCCGCTGAGTAAATCTTACGTCCAAACAAATCGAACCGCTTGGCGTCCTTCGATTTAGGCGCTGCCGCCTGTTGACCATGGCGCTCTCTTGCGTTCACTGAGGAGACCACTAGTGAACACGGCTGAGGGTGGGTATAAAGATACTCATGGTCTTTAGAGGGGACAAAGTATTTTCTCTCTGCCCCTCTGGCAGTGGGTGGGATGGAGGCAGGGGTTTGCCATATGGTGTTGGTGTTAGCTTGGATCGTATGGATGATGGGCAACGCCACCCGGGATGGGGCATCAGCTGAGAGGATGCTCACCACCGGGTCCTCCACTTCCACTATCTCCTCTGCCTGTAGATCCATGTTCCGTGCCACCCTACGTAACAGGTCTTGGTGGGCATGGAGGTCTATCGGGGGTGGGCCCGAGGTTGTCGTGCCCGCCACCGCCTCATCTGGGGAAGACGAGGAGGATGCCTCAGGGGGTAAAGGATCCAGAGGTGGGTCTGGGTCCGAGGGTCCCTGATGTCTAGGATCCCTTGTACCGGGGTCTGGGGCCTGCGTGGGCGTTGGCACAGGAGCCTCCATACCCCCTGGGGGAGGACGGGTAATGGTGGCCTCCGGTACCCTGGGCTCCCAGTGTGCCGAGCGAGAGGCCGCTAGTGGAGCCCCTTGTGCCTGGTGATATGTCCATGGGGTCCAGAAAGACCAATGTGCAGGGTCCTGTCTAGGGTCCTCTGCCCCATCCTGCCAATGGCCCAGATCGTCCGCTGCCTGACCCTGAGCAGGATAGGCTGAGCGGGAGGCACCTTCAGAAGAGCGAGATGCAGATCTTGAGGGCGAGGGCGGTGCTGAGTGTGATTGCGCTGGCTCCTTGTGGAACGGTGCCGAGCGGTGCTGGTCCATGGGAGAGCGGTCTCTGCGCGGTGCCGGGAAGCGGAACCAGGAGCGAGAATGGTGCCGATGGCTATGCCGGTACCAGGACCCAGATCTGGATCGCGAAGACGACCGTCTGTAGAATCGGTGCCGGGAGCGGCCTCTCAAACGGGATCGGTGCTCATACCGTCGGGACTCTGAGCGGTACTGATGCTCGGGTCGGTGCCGAGAGGTGGACCGGTGCCGGGAGGAAGAGCTGGGCCCCGAGTACGACCGGCGCCGTGATGAAGACCGGTTCCGGGACTGCGAGCGGCATCGGGATCTGCTCCGAGACCGGAAGCGGTGCCGAGAGTCCACGCTCGGAGATGGAGGGCGTAGCAGGGCAGGCTTGCTCCATGTGGAGCTGATGCAGTGCCGCGGTCTGAGACGGTGCCGGTTCCGTAAGGGCAATGAGGTCTCTCGCCATCGCAAACGTCTCCGGCGTGGACGGGAGACACGGCTCAACCACGGAACGGGGTGGGGAGCCAGTCCGCAACGGACTCAATGGCCCTGTTACCGGCGCCAGAGTCAATGGTGTCGATGACGGCGCCTGTAACCTCGGACGTTCCGATGCCGGACGCGACTCCGCAGTCAGTGCGGGGGGTGCCGGTGCCTGCTGTTGCGTGGCAGTCTCCTGTGTTTTACGGGGTCTCTTGTGACCCGGAGACAGGGAACGGTGCCGAGGGGCTTGCGGCGGACGCGGTGCCGATGGAGGACGGTGCCGTGGGGACTTATCCGCGTCTCCTCGCGGTGCAGTACCCGAGGCCGCCGCCGGGGCACTGCGCACCGAGGCGTTCGGTGCCGGAGCTTGGCGTGCCGAAGGAGTGTCTGGGCTAAGTGCCGCCTCCATAAGGAGCTGTTTGAGATGAAAGTCCCGCTCCTTTTTGGTCCTGGGCCAAAAAGCCTTGCAGATTCTGCACTTATCAATCTGGTGAGACTCCCCTAGATACTTTAGACAAGAGTCGTGGGGGTCTCCCGTTGGCATAGGCTTAGCGCAGGTCGCGCACAGGTTTAAAGCCAGGAGTCTTGGGCATGAGCCCGGCTGCACGCCGGGGGGAAAGAGGGAGATGAAAACCCCTTACCCCCGCTAACTACTTATAACTACTCTATAACAGCTATTAAACTACTAAACTATACTAAATCTATAACTATACAACTAAGAACTATCTACAACAATAACTAACAAGGAAAGCTAGGGAGAGTGGAGGACAGCTATGCCGTGCTCACAGTTCCAACAACCGTCATGGGCGGTAAGATGGAACTGAGGGGGCGCTGGGCCGGCTGGGGTATATATCCAGCGCCATGAAGGCGCCACTCCAGGGGGCTCCCCAGCCGACCCACCGGGTGTTGCTAGGGTAGAAAATTCTCTGACAATCATGCACGCAGCGCGCGCACACCTAATTGGAATTGATATGAGCAAGCACTTGAAGAAGAAACACACATTTCATCCAGGATACTTCTGTCTGGGTAGGGCTGTGTGATTTTGAACATGTGCTAAGAACTTCATGCAGGGGGATTTCAAAACTTTTCATTTAATGTTGCTGCACACATTTTACCATGATATTATTGACCAATGAATTATTAGTTTTCAAATGATACCTAACAAGGCATATTTTGTACAAAGATTATTACAGTAGTGTATAGGGGTGAATACAGGGTTTTTTTTCGGTCACAGGAACAAAACTGGGTTTTATAAATATAACATGGTCTGCTGGACTGGAGCACAAGATCAGGAGGCCAGAGCCCTTATTTCTAATTAATTTCTTCCACTGATTTGCCATATGCCTTGAGTTATTTAGCCTTTCTGTACCCCAGTGTACAGCTCTGTGAAGTGAAGATACCTACCTCACATTGGTGATGTGTGGATTAATTCATGACTCCTTTTAAAGTCAATGTGGGTTGCATGTTCCTCTGCTCCTCTTTATAAAATACAATATAAATGCTAAACACGTGAAGATTTTTAATTGTTGCATCTGTCTAGAATAGTATGTAGTCATAACAGAACAAGTGTTACAGAAAAAGAGTTTTTGGAGGCAGATGGTGCCGTTTTCCTGCTAATACTCAGGAAGTAAGAGAAATAAGGATAGAAAGGAAATTTGTTCTGCACTGAAATCAGTGGGAGAAGTACTTAAGTTTCATGAGGTAAATTTCAGTATTTGTTTTTTAGGTACTGATGTCAGTTGGGTTATGCATGTGATTGAAGATTTCCACAATCTGTTCCATGTGTTGAAACTTACCTAAAATCCATAATCAAGTCCTGATCTTTCTCCATTTATTTCAATGCAGAGCGAGTTTCTTCCTGTTCTAATTTCTTTTACTCCTGCTTGAAAGCAGGAAAATGACGGCTCCCAAGAACAAGCGTTACCTTTTTAACTATAATTTTTAAAAAGAAATTTTCTATTCTTTGTATATGTCTAGCTAATGCTGGAATTGTTAATAAACAATGCTGATCTTTTTGTAAAAGAAAACTGCTAGACTATTACTGAGGTTATTAAAATCTACATGTTTAAGTGTGATATGCAATATACTTCTCTCCATTCATCTAGGGCTTACAACTTTTTGGCATAATTTGAAGAATAGGGGAGTCTGGACAAACAGTGGGTCTGAGCCTTCAGGCACTCCACGGATGAAATCCTGTCTTCATTAAAGTCAACAGCAAAACTCCCATTGATTTCAGTGGGGCCAGGATTTCACTGCATCTATGCAACT